TTGGTTTACTGTATGCTTAGTGTTTCAGTAATTTTTTTCACAGTACCCTAAGCCCAAAGACATATGTGACATTTCTGTTTATTGAGTAATTAAGTGCAAAAAACTTATTGTTGTTATTTTTTTGGTGGCTGGCTGGTATGGGGATCCAAACCCTTTGGTAGATGCAAAACACTTAATAGTAGTAGTTCATGATGTGACCAACAGATGTCGCTATGTTTCCCTCAAAACTTTAAAATAGGACTGTAATCAGGCCCGAGCAGGAGGCGGAGCCTGAAGCCCCCGGGGTCCTGAGGTAGAAGGCCATGGGCCTTGACCTGCCTACTGCAGCCAGACCAGTGACTGAGACAGAAGCCCCCAGGGTCCTGAGACGGGTGGGTGGAGGGCCTCGGCCCTGTCAGCTTTGCCCCTCCCGACTGCAACCAGGCCAGCAACTGAGCCAGCCATGGGCTAGCCCCACCCCCTTTCCCCCACCCCCTTTTTTCCCTCCCCCATAACATCTTAGAATGTACTTATTTTTAGAAAAAATTTTAAAAACAGGAAAAAATTTAAAATATCTTGGAGTACCCCTGTGAGTTGGCTGTGGCACCTGGAGGTGCCTTGGTGATCAGTTTGGGAACAGAACATTGCCAGGCACATAGTATTTTTTTTTTTATTATTATTTTTATTTTGTCAATATACAATGTAGTTATTTATTGTGTCCCATCACCGAAACCTCCCTCCCTCCTCCCTCTCATAGTTGGTGCTAATTACATGGTAGTTATTATTATTGTGAAATATCTGTGATTATAATGAGAGGAGATCAGGGTACCAAAGAGGTAGTTTGTAGTTTGAATCAGGTGTTTATTATCCCTGAGGAGGGATACCTCCCTTTTGTGTCTGGGAGGGGAGAGTGGTTTCTATGTGTACAGACAAAAACACTTCATTCCCACAGCACTGCCATTTTCTAGCTTTACCACTGCCAAGATTTTCCCACTCCCCTACTCTCACTCAGCCAAATGTCACTCTTTCAGAAGAGACTTATGTATGTTAGATTAAAAATACTTCCCTTTGTCTCTGCCTGGCCTTTTCCACCCTCCTTTTCTTTCTCCTTCTCCTCTTTCTCTCTCCATGTCCCTCTTGGCCAGTGTCTGAAACTTGGCCCCTGTCCGCTCATGGTGATGGGAGGCTGGCTACTTAATTCAGGAAGAAGGATTGGTTGGACTCTATTTTGAGTCTCAACTTGGCATGTGAGCCAGCAAGGAGAGTGGGTGCTGATAGCTCATTCTTGCATACCTCCTTAACCTCCTCTAAGGGAACAAAGGAAAGCAATTTAAACAGAGAGACTCCAGAAGGTGGCACGTGGGCTTGGGAACCCTTGAGAGGCTGAGAGGAGTGGAGGTGGGGGCTGTGCTCAATCTCTGACTCTCAGCAATTGAGGCCCATGGGAGATCTTTGACTTTTTCCAAGAGACCAGAGCTGACTTTAGTTCTATTCGGTTGTTTAGATTCACTCAAGGGAAATCTGATGTTTGAGGAATAAGAGGAATGAAATAGCAAACCTGTCCATGCACTGTTGACTCTGGGCCTCCTTGGTGCTGGCCGGCAGAGGTCGGGGAGCGGCTGGCTGGCTCTTAGCTCTGGCCGGCGGCGTTTGCTTTGGCCGTTGGCGGAAAGAGCACTTTGTGGAAAGCCAGCCTTCCCAGCCAAGGACCTATTTTAATCCTAAATCTGTTGAGTCCAGCCTGAAGGCTGGGTCCAGGATCAACAGAGGCCATGGAAAATGGGACTGGATACCTGGCAGCCAGTATTGTGGGCTTTGAGTTCCTGACCAGGGCATTCAGCCCTGAGCCCATGAAGGCAGGAACGATGGGGAACCCAGGACCTTGTGGTGTCAGGGCCAGAAAGAGTTAGCTGCTCTTTGCATGGTCATTGTAGCCCAGGCCTGGATGGAGTACATCACTAGACATCACCCCTTCCCAGGCTATCCAGTCTAGAAAGGTGGATGTGTGACAAGAGCTGACCTAACTCCCAGAGTGCCTGAGATCTCCTAAGTGGGGGCCTTTCCATACTGAAGGACCACTAGATCATTGGATCAATATCCTAAAAACTAACCAAGCGCCATGGGAACACAGAGAGGTCTTAGTTATGATCACCTGAGATATCAAGGTCTTTCTGGGGAAACAGACAATTTTCACAAAGGGATACTTTCAGTACTAGGCAGGGTATAATTAGTACCATGTGAATAGCGTAAAGATGTGCCGAAGGAGTTCAGAGGACAGCAAGAGCCTTGGGGGAAGATATGGGTTGAGTAGTGTCCTGAAAAGTGAGTAGGAATCAGAAAGAGATGTGGCAAGAATGCTCTTTTGCTTCTAAGGAATAAATCCTTTGTAATAGATCCAACATATACCTTTGGTTTACTGTTAGATCCTGGTCTCCAACCAGATTGTGTTCAGACTAGGGTACCTGTATTGAGATGGTTCTGAACCTGAGTGACCAGAATGACCTGACCAATGCAACTTGTCTAGAGCTGGGCTGGAACTAGAGTGATGTCTGGAAGCATGAATCATCTTCATCAAGTCCTGTTTTTATCTTGACACTCAACTGTATTCCAACCTGAAACCCAGTAGTGGCTCTTCTCTTGCTTTCATAATGGCCGAGCAACTGTATTTGGTTTTCAAGGCCTTTCACAGTCTGATCTCATCCTTCCCTTCCAGTTGTTCTCTCATTTTTCTTAGAGACTTCCAGCTCTCCATACAAGCTAAATCTCCTTATTTCCCAGAGCCCGTAGAAAGTGACTTAAAGTTATTTATGGGCCTGGAAGACTTTGGCACAGGTCCCCTCCCTCCCTTTGAGCATTTGGGATTCTCTATGAGGTACCCCTAACTGCCCATCTGGCTATACGGTACTCAATGACGGGTAAGACCCTCCAAGCAAGGGCAACCTAAGACAGGGGCCGTATCCTTTTTAAACCTGGCTGTGTGATACTCAACGACGGGTAAGACCTTTAAATAAAGGCAACCTAAGACAGAGGTCACACCCTGGTTTTCAAAAACAAAAGGGGGAGATGTTGGGCTACGCCCGGGCCGCCAGCCATTTTGGGAAAGTACTTCAGCCATTTTAAACTTGCTTCGGGCTGATTCTGGGAAACCGAAACCTAAGCGGAGAACTCAAAACTTAAAAGAACTAACTTCCGGGGTACGGTGACTCTGCACTTTTTTCCCGCCTGCCCTGTCCTCACCCCTCCTCCCGGGTAGCAGTGTGTCAACTCCCTATTGGATAAGAGCTCCCCCGCCCCTGGTACCTTATAAAAACCCCTGCTTGCTGTAATAAACAGAGTTCCGGCTTTGACCGCTCTCCTGGCTCGGTGTTCTTTCTTTGTCCCCGGGGCCGAAGCGCAGAGGGGATCGGGCCTGCGACACTCATCATCCCGCTCAGCCCCACAAGAGGTTACCGCCGGCTGGTCCGGAGTCCCTTCCCGCCCTGTGTTGTTGGTCCCCGGTGGCGAGGAACCAACAGTTGCTTCATAACTATCTTTCATATTTACCTTTCCCATTACATTCTTAAGCAGAGTCCTGTTGAAAACTGATTCTTTGTTGCTCTAGATCCGAGGTAAGCAAACAATCTGTAAAGGGCCAGATAATAAATATTTTAGGCTTTGAGTGCCCTACCATCTTTACTCAGCTCTGCCATGGTGGTGAGAAAGGAGCCATAGATATGCAAATTAATGATCATGGCTATGTTCCAGCAAAACTTTATTCATGAACTGAGATTTGAATTTCATATAATTTTTAATGTATCACAAAATATTCTTTTGAGTTTTTCAACCATTTAAAAAATGTCACACTCTGTATGAAAATAGGTGGCAGGTTGGATATGGGCCACAAGCTCTAGTTTGCCAACCCCTGCTCTAGAAAACAGAGCTTGGACAGAAACTATCAGGGAGAGATTTTGGCTCAAAATTTTTAAAAAGTGACCAGAGTTATAGGAAAATGAAACAGAAGTTGCCCAGAAACTTAGACCTACTACTCTTTCACTGAAAGTATTCAAGCACCACTGGTTAAGGATGCCATAGGAATTAAAGGTTTTATGGGGAACTGGTTTTGGTGCTTTCTAAGTCCATTGGACTATGCTTTTGCCATAGTGTTGCTTCCTCCACAGAGCCATCATTTCCCCATTACTTGCTATCTACATTTTATTTTCGAAGGTCTGTGGTTGTCTTCCATTCCTCCCCACCTAGCATTTGATGATACTGTCTCACTTTGCTCCTATTTTTTTTTTTTTTTTGTGTGTGTGTACATCTTACTTCCCTTCCAGAAACCCAGGGGTTAATGTCAAAAGGGCAAGATTCCCCATGCAGTGGCTGCACTGTTGCCTAGCAGCCATTGGGGCAGCAGAATTACTGCAGCGGTCTTTGTGGGAAGATGGTCCGACCCAATCATCAGGGCGGAGTAAAGAGCAAATGAGATAATATACGTAAACACCCTTTATTAATTATAAAAACAGGATTTGATTCTGTCTTACAGAATATCATTTTCTCTTTTACTTTACTGTAGGGAATTTAAATTTGCTTTAAGAAATTTCAGCTCCTTTTTGCTTCCCTCCCTTCCACAGTGGTTTGGTCCTGCTTCTTAGCACAGTATCCCCTTTCCACCAATCCTCCGCAGTGGTCTGATCCTGTTTCACAGGCCACTAGCCCCTTTATGTTCTCACTCTTCCCCCTTCTTCTTTTCCGTTCCTACCCTAAAGTGGTTCGGTGGTGCCTTATAGAAAAGCATTCCTGTTCAGCTCCCTGTACATCTCAGTGGTTTAGTCCTGTCTTGTGAGCATCAGCATCTTTCCCCCTCCTGTCTCACGCCAATGATTTGATCCTGCGTCATTGAGCATCAGTTTCTTTTAGCCCCTCCCCCGGGGTCCACAGTGGTTTGATCCTACCTCACCGACTATTAGGTCATTTCTGATCCCCCCTCCAGCATCATCACCACAAATGGTATGGTCCTGAGCATCGGGTCCTTTTTGTCCCCCCACTGGTCTTCTAAGCAGATTGAAACAGCTTCATCTCATTCCTGATTCATCCTGATCCCCTCAGTGGCTTGCTCTTGTATTGGAAATTGGCCCAAATGGGTTTAAAATGGTCAGAAGTTGATCAGTTCAAATCTTTTCTGACAAGTAAATATTAGGTCTGACCAGTTCAAATCTATTTTGACCAGTTTAAAGTAATTCTGTAGAGCTGGAGCCTGAGGTCGGTAAACCCAGGAAGATGGCTGAAGATTATGCTGATTCGAGCCAAAGCAAGAAATCAGGTACTTACAGAAGTTGAAACTGAGCTGATATCTGGGAAAGAAAACAGATCAGATAAGGAGACAGGACAATACAGGAGCCAGGGTTGGTTGAAGGGAGGTTCAAAAGAGGTTAGTTGCACCCCCAATTTTTTTGAGAGGTGAGAGGCCATTTTGAGGAGGTAATGCAGGATTTCGGGCTCTGTGTTGGTTTGTTTGGTAAGCACTATGGGAGCTGACATCATCCAGCAGCCCCGTGTGGCTGGAGCTGAGACTGGGTTGTATGTGGCCCCAGTGATTTCTGTTTCTGCAAGCCAGACCCTGGGGCCATTCTTGGTGTCCAGCCTTACCTCAAGCCAAGATTAATGGAGTCCCAAACTATGAATGACGATCTCCCCACCCTTTTACTGTGATGATCATGATGCTCTTTAGCTGTTTAGGGATGCTATTTAGGTTACAAGAAGGGACTGGCAAATCTTCAAGAAAAGGGTTAATAGGTAAAGGCATGAAGTAAATGAGTCAGTTAATTAGAACTGAGTTGAGGAGTGTACCTTGCAGTTTTTTAGAGAGATGAGTCAGAGAAGGTGGTGAGTTGAGAGCAATATCTAATCTCTCATCCCTGGGACTGGTTATCTATCTCCTTGTTGTTTGTGGGCTGACATAGAAATTGGTCTGTGTTATCTTTCTGTCCTTCGCGGGGACTGCGGTGTGAAGGGTAGGGGCTGAAAAACAAGGAGGATGAAAAATGAAAATTTTATGGACTGCAGCATTTCCAATTTGTGTAAAATCACTGCGGTGGTACAGTGGGCAGGCCAGATGCTTTGGTGACAAGTGACATAATGCTGCAAGATTGAGGGTGGGGTTGGAGTTCTGTTTGGTGCAGTATGTCTCAACATCTTTTCTGCAGATGGATGAGCTTCTGTGGCTGTTTACCTGTAAGGTGAAAAAGAAAGGTTTCCTACAATGGCATAGGAACCTGGCTGCCTGGGAGGAAACAGATCCTTTTGTGGGAAAACTCGGCTTAGGAGCCTGTTAGTTGAAAGATATTTTTCAGGAAGATGGCTTCACTTAGCCACTTCCTATTTCTTGACAGGGATAATGGCAGCCATTTTAGTCAAGGCAGTTGAATGGCACTTCCAAATGTTGGAGCAGAGAAAAAAAAATCAGGAGATTTTGAATCAGATAGGCTGGGATTTCAGTCCTGGCTTTGCTATTTTCTATGTGGACCTTGAGCAAATTATCTAACCTCCCAGAGACTTGTTTTACTTATTTGTAAAATACAGTTAATATCATCTACCCTAAAAGGCAAGAACCTTAGAGTTTAACACCTTTTGGAGCAAAGTAGCTTCCATTTAACATTTTTGTCTGATTAAACTAGATTGTGTGGCAGGGATTGTTTTTGTGTATATGTGGGGGAATAATTTAGCTCGATAAAGACAATTTCTTTTTATTTTCAGAAATGTTCCCTGAATGAAACTACTGAACTGTTCTGAGGAGCGAAGGAGAAATTGTTCATTGAAACACTTTATAAACCATAAAGCACAACATAGATGTGAGCCATTGTTTTTTTATAATAACATGTCGACTATCATTAAGGTGGCACTTAGAAAAGCCACAGCACAAAATGTCTTCCAGTGTTGCACACTCACAAATCTCTTTGGTTCCAGATTCTGTTCTTGCCCTACGCCACCCTGGACCTGTGGCCACCAGAAGTCCTGAGATGTGGTATGCAGCATCATAAACCATAGTGACTCCAGGTGGGGGGATGATGTCAGAGATATAGATGTGAACAGGGTAGGGCTTTGCAATCTGTCCTTTAGCTGTAAACATCTTGGAATTGTCTTACTGCAAGGCAAGCCTGGATTATCTCACCTGCATTCTGTCACCCTCCCTGAAAACAGCAGGATCAGGTAAAGGAGGAACAGGAAGGGCAATGATGTGGACCTCCATGTATATGGAGGTCCTGATTCTGCCATTCATAGATAAGGGGGGTGGGAGGCAGATCAGGCAGTAGGGCCTCAGCTTGAAAAATTAAATTTTCATATATTTGTGGTCATAATAGCCCCCCTAGGGACCTGTGTTCTGTACTCAGATTTGTGGGCTGAGAGACACGGCCTTTTTTTTGTGGGGTCATTTGACTAATAGATGCAGGTAGGTGATGGTTACATTGTACCTGTATTTCAGCAAAGACCATGACAAAGATTTTTACTTATATGAAACCCTGATACATAAGATGGAGGAAACATGAGCTGGAACATTGTTCCTTTCATGGATTCTGAAATAGTTTTTTCAAAAAGTATTACTTATATCCAGCACTTACTGTGTGCCAGGGATTGTGCAAAATACTTTACATCCATTAATCATTTAATCCTCATGACAGCCCTGTGAGCTGTATATTATTAGCTCTATCATGATGGGGAAACCATTTATAAAGGGTGCTAATTATTGATTCTATGTTTCCCTGGAGCAGGAATTTTTTTTTTTTAAGCCTATATTTTGTCTCTCTGTGGAGCAAGAGAAGTGCGGGGGTGGGGAGAGCACATTCTCTGGGGGATTTATCAGAATCACTTGGATAAGGTTTTTTTTTCAAATCAAATGGGCCATTCTTCCCATTTTAGTTTTCCTCTTAGGAGGCCTGCCCCTCCTTGAGTATCTGTAATGTTTTGTAAGCTACTGTTATTAATGTGAATGGGTGATGGGAAGGGCTTTCCATGTATTGAGTCAAGAAAAAGGTTGAGCTTCACTATTGCAAAGAGAGGTCCTTGGTGGTAGACTCTAGGGTTCTGTCCCTGGATCTCTCTTGGTTTCAACCTTTTAATTAATAACTTGGATAGAGATGTAGAAAAGTATACTCACCAACTGTTAAGAGAGAACTGGAATTGGGGGAGAAATATATATGCTGATGACAGAACCAGAAATCCAAGAAGAATTTACTAGACTATAAAGATGGTCCAAAAACAACAAAATAAATTTGATAAGAATAAATGCGACACCTTTCACTAAATTTATAAAACAAACAAAAATTTAAAAGAAATTATCAGTGCTACAGGATGGGTACATGTTTAATATGGCTGCCAAAAAAGTTAATGGAAGCTCAGGATGCATTAATAGTTGTATAGAGTCTAGAATGTGGGAGGTGATTATGCCACTCTTTTCTGAATTTGTAGAACCACACCTCAAGTATTGTGCTCAGTTATATATGGCAGGTGTCTTTTAAAGAGGGACAAAGATAAAATAGTGCTTAAGAAGAGAAGTCTGGAGGGCAGAGTGGGGCATGATTACTGTCTTCCAATATCTGCAGGGTTGTCATGGGAAAGAGGATTTTATAGGATTTTATCTGTATGGTTTGACCCCAGGGGACAGAATTAGGATTACTGGGTAGAAGTTACAGCAGAGCTGACTGGAGATGAAATGGGGTGTGTTAGAAAGGAATGAGTTCCCGGGCCGGCCCGGTGGCGCACTGCTACAGTGCGCCGCTTGAGAGTGCGGCGGCGCTCCCGCCGAGGGTTCGGATCCCACATACAGACCCGAAAAAAGACAAAAAGGAAAAAAAAAAAATGAAAAAAAAAAAAAAAGAAAGGAATGAGTTCCCTATCACAGGAAGCATTTAAGCAGAAGCTGGCTGACTACATGTTAGGAATTTAAGTTTGTTGTAAGACCTCGAATATAGTTTTAATTGCTAAAGTTTAGCAGACTATGGGCATTTCTTGAGTGTTCTTTGTCTGTTTGATATGGGGGTGATGATCAGCAAGGAGAGTTATAGGGTGAACCTTGATAATAACTAGTGAATCCAAGGAAATGCTGGGGGTTAGCTGGTGTGGCCCAGTCAAGGATGATACTGAAGGAAAGAAACATTTACTAAGCACCTAGTGTATGCCTGGTGCATTTACACACATTATTTCTTAATTTTTACAGCAAGCAGGTGAGTTATATATTATTAGCCTTTCTTTTATAGATGAGAAAACTGAGGTTCAGAGGGGTTAAGTGACTTGCCCAAGGTCGTGCAGCTAGTAAGTGACCTTGGGTGAACACATCAGAACCTCCATAGGGAAATATGTCATAAAATTTCTACTTTTACGTGATCACTTCTCCAGTTGAGTAAAGAGCTGGTATTGCCAGAGGCGAGTCAGGACTGTGTGGACAAGTATGTCACACTGGGCTGGGTGCCTGGAGTAGATGAGAATATCATGAAGATATATGATCAGCCTCTAGTCCAGCAGGTCCTGGAGGATGGTGTTGGAACACAGCTGAGCTATTACACAGGCTAAATGGCATGACTGTTTATTCATAATGTCTGTACCTTATACAGAACGCTGTCTTCCATAGACTCTCAGAATGGCACAGCTGTAGGAGGACGTAGAGATCTTCTTTTTAAAGATAAGGAAACTGGTCCAGAGAGGGGAAGGGACTTCTCCAGCTTCTTCCACTTAATAATCTAGTTCTTGATATTGCTAGGGATTTGTTTTTAAAAATGTAATCTGAAAAAAAGTAATTTGGCAAATCTAGGATTAGAGCTTCTTAAAGCAGATTTGTTTTTCAGGAAGGACCAATTCCTCTGTGAAACTTGCTACTCTGTTTCAGAGCTACAAAATGTAATGTTTGGGGTTTTCCCTCCCTAATATTATAGATGCCGGTATAATAAAAATGGAAAGAGTGTAAATTTTAGAATCAGACAGATTGGGTTTAATTTATTTACTGGACCCCAGAGGAAATTCTTTAACTTCTTTGAGCCTCAGATTCTTTACTTGTGAAAATAGTAATAATAGTTTGATTTTAGCCATGTGGAGTGTGAGGTGCCTGTGGAAAATCCAGGTGGAGCGATCTAGGGAGGGCTGAAAGTCAGGAGAATGACCCCTATTTAGGCACCTAACATCCCTAGATATTAACCTTTATGTTTAACATATTTAATAATTCTGATTTGTCTTGGATTCTAGCCTCTTCACCAGCTCAGTTGTCCTCTTGAGAACATATCATATTTTGGCTTTGTCGCTCTTGAGGAGTGGTGCTCTAAAGCTAAACACAGTACTCCTGGTATGGTGTGGAGTAAGAGCAAGACCGTCACATCCCTCATTCTAGACATTATACTTTTATTGATGGGGCCTAAGATTGCATCAGTTCATTTGTGGTCTCCATGTTGCACCACTGACTCATATTAGTGTTGGCTAAACTTCCTAAGTCTTTTAGCAGGTCCTACCAGTAAACCATATTATTGACCCCTGATCATTATGGAATTGTAATTGTATGTGGCAGTGAGTCTCTCACTTTAGTGTGCATCATCTTCACCTGGGAAGCTTGTTAAAATGCAGATTCTGGGCACCCAGTCATCAGTATTCAAATTCAGTATGTCTGTGGTGGGGTCCAGGAATCTTTGTTGGAATAAGCACTTCAGGTGACTCTGATGCAGTTTAGCCTTTACCATACTCTGGGGAATACTGTCCTACGGCATGGAGAGAACTGCTTCCTACCCATCTTTGTCCCTGCCATTGACTTGGCCTCTAGTCCCATGCTGCCCTGCTTCACCATGGAATGAAGCCACCAGGTGGCTGTGGGTTATCACCAGCCTTATCTCATTTCCTGATATCCAAACCTGGATTTAATGGAAAAGGTAAGACTTTTTCCCCTTGCTCTTTCATTTCTTCAGGTTTCCTTAGATAGTCTGGAGCTGGTATACTTGTAATTAGTACGATGCTTCATTGGGAGCTGGAATGATAATAGTGCTCAAGAGTTGAGGTTCACTGATTAATGATTGGTGGCTTGTTAGGTCTAAAAATGATTTGATACACCATCTGCCAAATTAAATTTCATGTGTATTAAAAAGTTTTTTTTTCAGAATACTGAAAAGTTAAAAAAAATGTAGGTGAATAAATGATTTCTTCCTTGGATAGGCTTAAGTAACATGATATCACAAAGGAGAAGGGTTATAAATTTGCATAAATAAAATGAAAACCTCTATAAATCTAAAAACATGAACAAAATTAAAATACATATGGTAGGCTGGCAAACTGTGGAACAGTGTGATAAATACAATCAATCCTCATTCATGGGTTCCATTTTGCAAATTTGCCTACTAGCTGAAATTTATTTGTAAACCAAAGATCAATACTCATGGCATTTTTGTGATTATTTGCAGATGTTCACAGAGTGGCAAAATACTTGAATTGCCCACTGTGCACGTTTCCAGCTGAGGTTCAGCTCTGCCTTTTTGTTTCAGCTCTCATATCGTAAATAAGTACTATTTTCATTATCTATCTAGTGCCATGTTTTTCATTTTTGTCCTTTTTGTTGGTGATTTCACTGTGTAAAATGGCCCCACATGCATAGTGCTGAAGTGCTGTCTAGTTTTTTAAGCTCAAAAATTATATGTATTAGATAAGCTTCTTTCAGTCAAGAGTTGTATCTGATTTCAATATTAACAAATCTACAATATATATTAAATAAGGTGTCTTTAAACAGAAACACATACAAACAAGGTTATGTAGTGATTAGTTGATGAAATGTGACCAGAGGTTTGCGTGAACCCAACCCTGTATTTTTCCAGGAATAATAATTTAGTATTTGCTAATTCAGTGTTTGCAGTGACTTTATAAAACATATCAACTGTAAATAACAAGAATCAACTATATATAATTATGATTTCTATCTGACATGCTGAATATATCAAAACACTAGTAAATTTATAAGAAAAACACCAGGATCTCAATCAAAAATGGGCAAAGGAAATTCAT